AAAAAAAAAAAAAAAAAAAAAACCGGCCTACAAAATGCGGTATTTCTGCCTTTTCGAACTCGGGGTCTGATGTTACCGCCTTTTGCTGTTATTTCTGCCTTTTCGAACTACGGCCATTTTTTCATTGACATTCATGTTTTTTTTGCCTTTACAGTTCGAAAGTGTGGTACTACTGCACTTGTTTCTTTTTTTTTTTTTGCTGGGACCTTCCCTGGTCCTGGCACGGGCTGGCCACCCGGGACCCGGGTGGCCCGGCTGGTAGCCTGTATTATTATTATTATTGTGGATTCCCACTGTGCTCTTTTGGGCTGAAACAGTGTCCTGGCTCAGGGTGGATGAGTGTAAGGATCTGTTAATAATGTCTGGTCTGTGGTCCATTGGACCACACATTGCTAAAATGAGAAACTGGAGCCTATTGGACCCCTCATCTTAAAAAAAATGTGTGGTGGTTCTCCGATCAGATCAGTGGCGGAGGTCCTCTGCCCATTTTTTCCAACAGGAGGGGACCAAAAGGCCCCATTTTTACTTTCTTAAGGGAGGCAGCGGCCGTGCAGGGGCTGGGCAATTGCCGGGATGCCCGTGACTCCCCGGTGCCCCCCCCCCAAACACGATGCGCTGGGTTGGACCGGGGGCCTGCCGGGCCGGTGGACGCGCGGTCCAACCGGCAGGCTCCCAGTCATGAGAGGGCCCCCCGGTCCATTCGGGGACCAGCACTGCCCTATTGACAAAAAAATTGGAAAAGGTGAAATAAGTGGGCAAAATCTCAGCGTGGTTCAGGACGGTGATGTTAATAAAGCTGTTGAGATATCCCCTTCGGCACTGGTGGTGCCTCCCAACACAGACTCAGAAATCGGACATTTCGGGTAGCCTACTCGCTTCGGCCGCCCGACACCGGTACCGTGTGGACGCATTATGAAACTTTTTTGGCCACTATTCGATAGGCTCTGTAGGCGTGCGGTTTGCTTTGAGACGGCTGTAAACTTCGGATAAATAGTGTAGATAACAGTAAATGTGTCGATAAGTTGATAACAGTAAATGTCCTCCTTTGCAGGTCTAACGTTCTTGTGTTTACTATCATAAATGCATAAATGGGAGTGGGTTTGTGGAGCGGTGGTTACAGTCAGGGGGTGGACGAAGGTGGTGAAAACCCCTGAGGATGACAGATTGGCACCTGTCCAAACGCGGCGCGGAACCTGCTACGTTGTATTGATTGTTTTGGGGGTTCACTTGCTATCTTGTCTCACGCTGTTTGTTGTGTTGACTTCTTCTTCTCTGAAGCACTTCTCTGAAGAAACCTTTGTATGTGATGCATGACAAACGTGCATAGGGTACACAGGCAAAACATTTCCTCTTTTCTTTGGTTTTCGCCGAAAAACTGACAGCCACTTCCCACAATGATTGACGAGTAGTGGCTGTCACCAGCTGCCACGTGTGCTTGAAAAGCCATCCTCGTGAGATTTAAACAGCGGTAGTGGGCCGAAGGCCCTGTATCGTTCCAATTTTAGTTGACGTCCCAAAGGACACCCTAATGCTTTCCGCCCATCCTTTGGAAGAATTTTTTTGAGACCCCAACTTATGATGACAGCAAAAGCAGGGATTTTGCCTAGTACCTCCACTTTTCCAGCACTCCATCCAATCCCAGTGCCTCCTTTCCATACCGGATGGCTGAAGTGAGAGGGTAGGCCCCTCCTTTCCACACGAGATGGCTGAAATGAGAGGGTACCCCCTAGCCTACCCACCCACTTCGGTCATCCTGTGCGGAAAGGAGGCACTGGTATTGGATGGAGTGCTGGAAAAGCGGAGGTCTACTGCCAATTCAGGCAAGTCTTCCTGACATCAGGTAACATAAAGCTCTGGAGGTGCCGGAAATTGCTGTGAAGGTGGGGTTCCTTTTCTCTTGCCCATCCTCGTTGGCTACGATTTGGCTGGTGTACGCTTTCCAGGCACCAAAATACCACCAGCCACTGGGTTCCTGGCCTTAGTTGCATTCACTTACCAGGTAGGAGGAGTGTGTTGCACAGTTTTGTTGGATTGCACAGGACAGGCATTTTAGCGATGGAGTTCCCAGGTCCAGTCTGGTGGTGATGTCGTCTGGAACGACAGACCCTGTCTTGCCTAGAGTAGGTCCAGCTTCAGGCAATACCAAGGCTGGTGCTTGCACAATGTCATCAGATAGAGTAAAATCAAATCTCCATGGAAACCAGCAGGAGGCTGGGGCATCATGAGGAGGCGAGGTAGCGGTCTGGGAGGCCGATCTTCTTGCTGGGAGCAACATGCCTGCCTACGTAGAGGCACATCACGCAGCCGCCAGGCCCACTTGCACAAGAAGAGCTGTCAACAGCTGCTCAAGGGAGGAAAAGGTTGCGTGGAACTGGTCTTGCCCTTCCCCTTCCTCCAAGCGACGAGCTATGGAAAATGCACGCTATGACATGGAGGCAATTAAACCGCCGCCAGTGTTTTTCCAAGCCAATGTTCTACAACGCGGCACTGCATCTGGCAGGATTTACCAGCCTGAAGCCATACATCCAGGCAAACGTATCGAGCGCACGCCCCGTTTGCCTGGCAAGCTGGCAGTGCATGTATTTCTTGCGACTGGCAGGCCGGTACATCTCCCAGCCAGACGTGGCCGTGCTCATGCCACGCTCTAGAAAACAATGGCTGGGAAAACCACCGGTGGTTGAAACCCAGGGATGGAAACATCATTCATGTGGTTAATAGCGACCCCATATCTACTCTCAAAAAATAAGAAAGAAAAAAGAATGTTAGCAAGAACTCTGTCCAGGTGTTGCACAGAGTGTCTTCGTTACTTTGTCAGATTCTCAGACCCATGATGATCAGTAGTCCAGGCTACAGAGGGATACTCCCAGTTGGCCTTGATCCTTGTTTGTTTCAGTATCTCCTATGCGGACATACAATTATTGTGCACTTGTCACTGTCCCGGTCGACCAGGTGGCTTTGATGTATATTTGTGACGATATATAGGATGTTCTTTTTTTTTTTTTTTTTTTTTTTTTTTTTGGAGGAGGTTCAATTTTCAAGGTTCTCCATAGTCACATACTCATTTTCAAAATAACTCGCAGTTTGTTAAAAATGACTTTTTTTAAGTTTTGAAGTTTTCTCAATTAACTGCACGGAATTAAATATCCCAATTTTTTAATGTGTTGTTTTAACCCATGCGGCAACAGACCCAGAAGAAATGCCGTTTGAAAAATAGCATTCCATCAATTTTTAAATTTTTTTTCTTTCATGAAGTCCCAAAAAAAAAACACAGAACGTAGTACTAAATCATGTCTTCAAGTTAAGAGTGCGTTTTTTTTGTGATTGCAGCAGGCGGATAAACATCAGTCAGTCAAATACGTTCAGCGTATTTTACGAACGCATGACAAAGGTTGAGGCCTCTTCATAACGATTCTGCAGGCAACGATTGTCGATGCAAGGTACTTACTATTTTTCTTTCCGGTGACTCTGACATTGCCGTATATTTCCAGGGCCATTTCCATCAGTTTCCAGTCTGACGTGACAGCACAGCATGATGAAAGGTAATGAAAAGTGCACGAGACGGGACAAACCACTCGCTTCTACGGCCATCAGTTTCGTACCTACAGTTTCCCCACAGCAGTCATGCACAATTTGAACAAAAAAAATTCAAGGCATTTTTGGGTTCGAACTTCCAAGGCTGGGTCAACGTAGAGCTTACGAAAACCACGCTCTACGTTGAGGCTGGGTAAGAGTTGAGTGAGTGACTGTGGGTCAGCTTCAAACGTAAAACCACAAGTACATGGCCCCAGCCTTGCAGCAAAACATCTTGTCGCCACAAGATTGTTTTTGCGGCTAGGGCCTACCGGACCACAAGGGCTGGCGCCGCCAGCCCAAAAAGAAAAGTAGTGCCGCGCTGACAGTTAGGAAAGTGCGCCGCTGGCGGTTCAGAAAAAGAGGCCCCGGTGTACTGGTGGTTTAAGGGCGCTTTTGAGTCAGCTTCAAGAGCTAAGGGTAGGTGTGGGGTGTGGTAGCTGGTTCTGAGGGCCCTACAGTGTAGGTCTATGCAGGTTTACTTATGGAAAACGTCAACGCTAACTTACTACGAACGGCATCCTGGTAAACGAGGACCGCAGGTGTCCAGGGTCCTTCTCGTTCCTCACCACGATGAATGGAGGCCATTGTTGACAAAATTTTAATACATACATTGTCGTAGCTCCCAGAGTGAAACTCCACTTCTAAAAGGGAGGGTGAGGATGCTGGGATCTCAAACTGGTTACTGCTTGCTTTCTCTGGCTTCTTTTGCTGGGTGAATTTAACTGAATTATGATATAGATTTTTTTGGCAGTCCATACGATGTATAGTTCATCACTGTGTAGTCCGAAGTCGCTGCCACATGCAATGTGGTAATAAAAGGGTTTTAAGTTTTAACTTTTCAGTCAAGAAGAAGGAGGTGTGGAGAGAGTCTAGAAGGAGGTTTAACTTAGAAGTTTAGAAGGTCTGGGGAGAGAAGACAATGGGCTCAAGGATGGGCACCTTGTTTGCCTGGAATTTCAGCATCCTGCTCCTGACTAGCAGTGTAGTCCTGTGGCAAAGCGAGGGAATGCATGCCTATGCCGGTTTGGTGGGGAGCGTTAGAGCACGGAAAGTTTTGGGTGGAGGAACTAATCCGAGCTTCCTGGTGATAGGCGAGACGGAGCTGATGAAAAATCTTGGTGATGTACTCGCGTCAAGAAGTGACAAATCTTCAGGAGCGCAGTTTTCCATCCAGGACCTTGCCCTGTCTTCAAATGGCAGCACCATCTTTTACGCGGAACAGTGTCATTCGACAGATGCCACTGGAAGTCAGGTTGTCTCCACGGTGAAGAGGGCAGAACTGCTACCCGACGGGAAGTATGAGATTGTCAATTTCACTCGGTCCTGGGACTGGGTCATCAATGGCGTCCTCATCCTCGATGCGAACTACTTGATTGTTGCAGTTGGCGATTGTGTGAACACCGGATTCCAGTCGGTGGACGTAAGTACCGGAAAGGCTGCAGTTCTGACCCCCGTGGACTGTCCATTGAGAATCGCCAAACATCCGTTACACCCGTACATCTTCATTTCAGCAGATACGCGCATCTACGGCATGTCTATCGCTCCTCCATCGGCACTGACCACACTACCGTCGGTGTCGAACAGGAGTAACCTTGCAGGTCCAGTCTGCGCAGCTCATAACTCTAGCTATATCGGGTACTGCGCTGACGAAGAACCTCTGAATGCACACACAGATAGTCTAGATCCATCTCGAGTCCGTTTCGACTGGCCACTCATAGGAGCACGGGCAATTTCAACTGATGGGAAGAGCTTGTATGTGGCCGACCTGTATAATAACGCGGTGAGACGGGTGAACACCTTTACGGGGGCCACAGAAACCATAGCGGGCAACGCTGATGCTGTGGAAGGCGATGGTGGTCCGTCCTTTGCAGGCTTCAATGAACCATGTGCTCTGGCCGTAACCCACGATGGCTGCAACCTCTTTGTGGCTGAAAGAAAAGGAGGAGCCATCCGATGGCTGACATTCCAACAGCCTCATGGGAATGTGCTTGCTGTCAAAACTGTTGCGCTCGTTCGCAAGTCGAATGATTCGCTTGGGTCCTTCAGGTCTCTCATCCTTTCAGAGGATGACAACTGCCTCTATGCAGGCACCGATGATGGGCAGATTTTCAAGATTGGAGTGAACCATTCCGCACTCCACCAGTGCGGCGTGTCTCCACCTTCAGCATCTGCCTATAGCAGCTGGCCATCTATGCCTGCGTCCACTATGTTGTCTAGTGAGGGGTTAGCTCCTAATACTGGTGAGCTGATGTCGACGACGTCTCCTTCAAGCATATCACCCACCACTGTTTCCTCTTCAAGCGAACTCTTAGCATATTCATCTACCTTGCCACCGTTACCTTCCTCTACCAGCCCACCTTTAGAACTACTGGCTTCTAGCTCCATACATGTATCACCTTCAAGCTCCTCTTCTTCATCTGCATCTGTGTCGAGCCCACCTTTGGAGTCAGCTTCTAGGTCCATGTCTTCATCTGATTCATCATCAAGCTCTTCTTCTTCATCTGCATCTCATGGTCCTTCACATTTGGCTCCATCTTCAGAGTCAATGATGATGCCCTTCCCTGGTTCTGAGTTTTCACCGCACCCATCCGCTTACATCTCGCACGACTCAGCTTCCAGCCATTACGATGGTCTTTCAGACTCATCTGCCGTCTCTTTGGTTGGCAGCTCCCTTTCGGGGTCATCACCCTCTTCGCCACTGGGTGCGAGCCATGAGAATGGAAGTCCGGGCAAGACATCCGCACTGGTTGTAGGTTTGGCAGCGGGGCTCACAGCAGCGGTTGCGGTATCATTCCTGGCGAGCTGCATTGTACTGTACGCGTTGAAGCAGCACTGGCGGTCGGATTGTAGTAGCAATAAGCAAGTACCAGCTAGTGCAAGTGCAAAGGAGAGCAAGCCAGAGTCGGTGATTGTGACAGATAGCAACACTTCTAGATCTGCTTCGACTCCCGCTCACATTTCAAAGAGTGGTATGACGAAGTTCACGCTTGCAGAAATACAGAAAGCGATTCAAGAGGGGCATTGCTTAACTGGAAAGGGTGGCGGATTCGGTGACGTTTATCGAGGTTCAATGGAGATAGAAAACGGAAAGGCCACCGTCGCCATCAAGGTAATGAGAGGTGCATGTGACGAGATCAAGCATAAGCAATTCATGGCCGAGCTGAACACGATTGGTCAGGTGCGACACAAGAATCTCTGCCAGATTTTGGGTTACTGCACCGAGGACGAGAAATACTTTCTCATCTACCCATTCGTTTCAGGTGGAAGTTTGTATGACCACTTGCACAGTTCATTCGACATGGCGGTCCCCACAAGTGAGCCGCTTGAACGGGCACAGACCACTCCTCCTGCCTCGCACGGAACAGATCTCTTGACCTGGAGGGATCGAATGTCTATTGCGCAGCAAGTAGCAGAGGGCTTGTGTTATCTCCATCATTCCTTGGAGCCTCCAATATTGCACCGCGATGTTAAGAGCCGTAACGTGCTTCTTGAGCGAGTACAGAATGGGAATCGATCTAGTGTCCGTGCTCTTTTAACCGACTTTGGGCTCGCCAGGCCTGGCATTGCAGCTGAGGACCAGGAGAAGACTTTTACGGGTGAGGAGACAGTGCCCACACTCACACGTTCAGGTACTCCAGGCTATATGGCTCCGGAATACGCGAACGGCGCGAAGCTGACGATGAAGAACGACGTGTTTGCATTTGGGGTCATTCTCATGGAGCTGATTACAGGTCAAAAGGCCATAACCGGGTTGACGAGGCATGACTCACACCCAGTCATGCTTTACACTCTGGCAAGAAAATGGCTGTCTCGGGACAGTCTGACCGTCAAGCAGCTGGACGAGATCATGGATCCAACGTTAGTGCCTTCGCTGACAGCTCACGAAAGGGAGATGATTCACAGGGCTGGAAAGCTCGCCTGCCAGTGCACGGATGATATTCCATCCGAGAGGCCACTCATGCAAGCAGTAGTACAGCAGCTGTTGATCATAGGGCAAGATCGCAACTCCACCTTGCAGTGACTATCACCATAATTGCAGTCAGCTCTTGAGATCTAGGCTTAAGAACCCGCCATGGTGGTGGGGCAAGGGAGGACTCACCCACGAAAACCACGCGGGTCAAAAAGAGAGGCAAGAATCAGAAGAAGAAGAAAAAAAAAAAAAAAAAAACTGACTTCAGGCCTGGATGGTGCTTGACCTGAGCAGTTTGAATCCAGCCTTGTCTTCAGATTTGGTGATGGGTCACCCAGGGGGAGGGGGGGGGGGGTCAAGCCACTATGAACAGGCGTTATATGGGTTCAAACGGGTATGTCTTTATCTTTCTCTCTCGAAATTAATAAGAATTCCCAGGTGAACCTCAGCCAAAAGTTGTTGGCCATGCTATTTTAGTGATTTCACACTGCTGAAAGGCATTCCACGATGCAGACCCCAAATTCGAATCTCAGGGTCATTGACAAGGTGTCAGGTTAAAAGAGGCCAAGTCGGCCAGTTCAGAAAGGTCACAGTCGGGTACCTTAGGAGTCAAGTCCAACAGGCACGCGGTGAACAGTCACATCCCAGAGGCAAAAGTTGCATTCCATAAGCAAAAGTCACAGCTCATATTGAAAGGTCATATCTCAAAGGCAAAGGACACTTGGCCAGACAAAAGTCGTGTCCCAGAGGCAAGAGTCACATCGCACAGTCAAAAGTCATGTCCCACAGGCGAAGAGTCATGACCCACAGACCCAAGCAGCAGCACACCCATGAAAATTCGGGAAAGTACCAGGCCTCAGCATTCTGAAGCAAACAGGATGCGGGCATGTGGTACCGGGACCAAGGCAAACCGAAGGAAGCAGAGGCTGGACGAATTCAGGCTAGTCCAAGTCAGTATAAGGACTGGCCAGCCACATTTCAGGGGGATGGCTCATTCGTGATGGACACGTGGCATGTCAACTTGAGCCCTGTTTGTTTACAGACCACTCATTGACAATTCTAAATGTCAAGGGACGCTGGACCCAGTTTCCAGCAGGTGTTGCTCCCCACCAATAGATGGAGCCTCCCCGAGTATGCTAGCAGTGTCTGCTCTTATCAGCACCCCTAGCATTTATTCGGGTTGTTTTCGAAAAGGAAAAAAAAAAAAGAAAAAAAAAAAAAGAAAGAAAAAAAAAGAGAAGAGTGGAAGTGCTCCTGGAGAGCTTGCGCGTTATCTGTTAGTGGCATGCGCAAGAGCCCTGCTGGGCAGCGCTGTGCTGAGAGGGAAGGCGGCCATAGCCGCTCAGCCAGTAGGAGGAGGCAGACCTGAGTAGTGGCGGATGTATTCAGAGTCAAGATCCTCAAGTAGAGAGAGAGAGGGAGAGAGAGCAGAGGGAGAGAGTGAGTGCATGCATGAAGAAGACAGAGAGAGTGAGAGGGAGGGGGACAGAGAGAGAAGAGAGTCACCTACCTTGGATGAGGATGCTGGAGTTGGGTTGCTGAACTCTGCACTGATGAGCGCTGGTGACAGGAACTTGGAAACTGCTTAATATGATAATTTGTTGGAATTTCTAAGCTGCGCTTATCTGGACTTTGCATCTCTGGTCTCCGGACTGAGTGTGGATTCGTGTGATCTCTCATTGTGTGTGTGTGTGCTCAAGGTGACGAGCAGTGAGGCTCAAGGCACTGCATTTTTTTTCTGGATGTTTTGGATATTTTTATCTTCTATTTTTAGATATTATGCGCTTGGAGTGCACCAGACGATGTCCGGAACCTCACCCAGGTGGGTACCCAGGCAATCGTCCCCCCCCAAGGTGGGTCGCCCAGATTTCACGTAGTGAAATTGAGCAAATGGATTCTGGACTCGCATGACTGACATGTTTCTTGGAGAGCACTAGGGCCCTGAGGAGGTAAAGACATAGCTACTACGTTCTTCGTCTGAACTTGTAAGTTGCGAGGAAGAAGGGGCCAAGAAAAAAAAGGGTCCTCGTCACACCAACTGCTGCACTATGTGCTCACGCCCTTTGGAGCAGTCGGGTCGTGAGATACGTACTGTCAAACAGTATGCTTCGCCAGTGCGAGGGTAGTTGATGGTGAGTGCTTTTGTAAGTGAGGGAATGGCTACCTCATAGCAATCTTCAAAAGATTTGGGGTGCTGAAGCAGACGTATCACACACAGAGGATCGACAGTGAGGTAAAGGGCCCACTGCACGAGGTCTATGTCTATGATCGGGAATCCAACTGTTCGTATCGCGGATTGGGTGGCAACTGCTGAGACTGAGACTTATATCAGATTCTCCTCACAAAGACCTAGACATAGTCCACTGTGGCCTGGTCCTAATTGCTGGAATTCAGTGGAAGGAGGGTGCAACAGCAGCAAAGCCGCAGTGATACTGGGCCGTGCTTTTCTGATGCCAAAAGGTGGAGGTCCAATTACAGCACAAGGTGAGAACGATCGTAAACCACCAGTAGGTTTCCCAGCCATTTTTCCAGAGTCGCGGTGCGCCATGCATGCTGCTGCAACTCTCAGGAAGTACCGGGGCGCCGTTTCACGGGCATCCATCGAGGCAAAACGGACTTCACATGGCACCCGTTTTGCCTGGATGGGTGTGCCATGAAAGGGCACCCGGTACTTCCCAAGAGTTGAGGCAGCATACACACCGCGACTCTGAAAACAAATTGATAGGAAACACACTGGTGGTTTTAGGGGTGGGTCATTTGGGCCCAGCTTGGAGGAAATGCTGGAATTCAGTAGAAGGAGGTGTACAGCAGCAGCAAAGTCACAAGGTGTACATAGACTGGGGACTAGCTGGAGGGTCAATTACAACGTAAGGGTGGAAATAAATAGATAAATAAAGGGTGGGCCGTTTGGGCCAAAGGGACGGAAAATGGCAAACAGCAGTGAACACCCTATGTCGCATTCTGCGTAATACAAATGATGACTCCCTGCTTTTTTTTTTCTTTTTTCTTTTTTTTCAAGGGACAAATGCTCCAGTCTATTCGTGGGGAGCAACACTTGCTGGGAACCGGGCCCAGCGTCCCATATAGAATTATATAAATGATTTGAAATACCAGGGCCATTACCTGGCTTCGGCTAAGAACAATCTGATAACTATGAAAAAGGTTCTGGAAAATTTAGGAAAACATGGATGACTGCTAACCTATTGCTAGGCTACTCAAGCAGCACTTACTAAGTCAAAGCCACAGAAGCCCTTTGAATGCTCAGAACCCCTGGAATCCCCAACAAAACATTCTAAAATTCTCTAACACTGTCTTATTCCCTGCCGAGCTTTCCCAGGCCTTATGCCCCCATCCTGATAGGTTACAGGGCAACACAACTCACCCCAGCTCCGGCCAGCGTCGTACCGACAGCAACCCTTGGTTTTTCCTTGAAATGCCCGGCCCAAGGCATCCCCAGATCTCTCTACCAGGCCTCACGCTCCTGCTATCAACAGGTTACAGGGCAACCCCCCAGCTCCGGCCAGCGTCGTTCTTGCATAAGAACACCGCAGATCCATGAATATAACAGCATTAAAAAAGGCCTAAAATGAGTTGCAAGAAGTGCCCAGAATCCTAAGGCATTCTCAAGACTTACCTCATGAGATAGGCTACAATTCAGAAAATGTCTGAAAAGGCTTGGAAAAATATGAGAACGGGGGGTCAAAACTGAAACTGCCTACTATCCAAAACTCCCCCCCTCAACAGACGGAACGTCGGTTCAGACTTTCAGTCCTCGTACCAGAACTCACTTGATCTCATATCCCCTTCTGCTAGGGTAACAGGGCACCACAACCTTCCCTAGTACTGACCAACCTAGAGTCTTCCCCCGAATACAACGTACGGTCATTATAGCTGTATCTAGACTGAGAGATGCCTCAAATATGCCTATAATGACCGTGCGTTGTATTCGGGGGAAGACTGTAGTTCTGACGGACGGGAAGTGCCTTCCTCCCTCGACATTTCCCTTAGCGGCAAGCCCCTGACATAGGTTACAGGGTTAATACCCCGGCGCCGGCTACGTCGAACGGTCTGGTTATGCCTTCCACCCTCGGCATAACTCCACAGGCCTCAAGCTCCTCCTAGGTCACAGAGCAAAAGCTCCACCACCGGCCTGTGTCGTCCAACATCGTCCTTCTAACCTACTTACCTTAACAAACAACCTTCCTCTGTCGAGTGTCCTCTTACTACCTTTCGTTCTCCAGTTCTAGCTCTCCTCCCTTCTCTCCTGTTTTTGAGATACCAGGGCCATTACCTGGCTTCGGCTAAGAACAAACAACTCAGAACCCCCCCAACAATCCTCTTTACCTCACTCCGGCAAACCTTACTGCAGCAGAGCCACCATCTCCGCCACTGCTGTACCCTATTTCCATCCTATGAGCTAGCCCCGTCGCTAGTAGGACGCGTAATATCCCACCATCTACTTCTCCCACTCACCTCTCTTTTTTTTAAAAGGACATGCTGCAGTCTATTCGTGGGAAGGAGCACGTGTTGGGCACCAGGTCCAGCATCCCAATCAAGAACACATTGAAAAATCAGGAAATCAGAAGATTGAGAAAACAATATACACGTTTTAGCACCTACTATTTCCACGAGAAGAGGGGAACGGAGGGGAAAAAACACCCTCTCTCCCCATGGAAACTCCGGCGCCTATTCTAATCTCGATTGCATGTACAAGGCTTACAAGAACCAAAACGGATTACTCCTCTCCTTAAAAAAATGACCCCCTGTCTGATATTGCCTCCGCGGGGAAGCGCCCCCTCACCTCCCAGCCCCAGTTCAGAGCAGCCCCCTAAGTACCACTCTTGCTCCCTCAACTGCATACAGTACTCCCTAAAGTATGCCCCGCAGAGATGAAGATCCCCCTTCCCTCCTGCCCCACCCCCTCCAAGTGAAGCAGCCCTACAACATCTCACCATGCTAACATCAGCACCCCTTGTCCTCTCTCCCCAACCGCCATAGCTGACCCAAAAATCAGTGTGGCTCAGAAAAGGACAAACCCTCAACACCGCCCCTCCCTCTCAAAGATCACACCATTCACCCTGTGTAACCCTCACAGGGAGGGGCTGCAACCCTGAAGAAGACACTTCCATTTAGATTCAGTAGCCAAAAACAGATCAG